TGATCACCACCACCTGCACTTGCACACTTGCAACAAGATGTTTACGCTGTACGGACAGCAGAATTTTACCCTTTAAAACCTGACATTGAAAACAGAAGAGCTCTGCTGGGTGCAGTGGCTCATGACTATAATCCCAGCACTTGGGGAGGCCGAAGAGGGCGGATCCCATGAGCTCAGGAGTTCCAGACTCCCCTGGGCAACATGGTGTAACCTCGTCTCCACTAAAATACGAAACATTAGCTGGGTGTAGTGGTGGGGGCCTGTAATCCCAGCTACTTGGGAAGCTCAGAATCACTTGGGCCTGGGAGTTGGAGGTTGCAGTGAGCTGGGACCGCCATTGCACTCCAGCCTGGGCTACAGAGTGGGACTGCCTCAAAAAAAAAAGTAAACAGAAGAGCTGATATTAACTGAAGGCTGTGTGGTTACATAAGAACTAGATTCATGGGCCAAATCTTAAATCACAAAGAATGCTCAAGTGTAAAACCATGGCAGTTACTTGAGCGTGGGACTGGATTTTACATTGCATTTGAAGGTAGAGAGAGGCACCACTAGGGCTAGGACATTTGAAGGTTTGTTTGCTGTAATTCACTTGTAATTTAAGAAGGCCCTATCTAGAAGCAGGATATCCTTTCTCCCTGAACCAGGATATTGCCCAGAGTCTAAGAAAGGAAGGAGCCAAAGCCCCAGGACATGCCACGTTATCCTGAAAGGTATCCTTTGCAGAATCAGACAGGACAGAGCACTGACATGGGTCGCACTGGCCTTCCTCTCCAGGCAGTTGCTCTCTGGAGGAGCTCTTGCCTCCAATTCCTGCAAGGGAAATGGGACGCACTCGTCAAAGCTGACGGGCATACATGGTACAGGCTCACCAGCACTTCCGCCTTTCTCTCTGCAGATTCCCAGTAGCAGCGTAGGAGGTCTTTACGCAGTTCTAGGCACTGTGTCTTTTGCAAAGACAGGTATGCTTATATGAAAGGGGTCTTTCTACTTGGGTTCCCCATTTTGTAGCCAGGGAGATTTAAGGTCCCATGAGGTTCTGTGATTTACACGGGGTCACACTGTTGCTGTGAGAAGGTAGAAGCTAGTATGCCATGGCACAAACCTACAGCAAAAAGGGTGTTCTCTCCTATACCCATCCAGATACCATTCTGTCCTACACCCATCCAGATACCATTCTCTCCTACACCCATCCAGATACCATGCTCTCCTACACCCATCCAGATACCATGCTCTCCTACACCCATCCAGATACCATTCTCTCCTACACCCATCCAGATACCATTCTCTCCTACACCCATCCAGATACCATTCTCTCCTACACCCATCCAGATACCACTCTGTCTACACCCATCCAGATACCATTCTCTCCTACACCCATCCAGATACCATTCTCTCCTACACCCATCCAGATACCATTCTGTCCTATACCCATCCAGATACCATTCTGTCCTACACCCATCCAGATACCATTCTCTCCTACACCCATCCAGATACCATGCTCTCCTACACCCATCCAGATACCACTGTGTCTACACCCATCCAGATACCATTCTCTCCTACACCCATCCAGATACCATTCTCTCCTACACCCATCCAGATACCATTCTCTCCTACACCCATCCAGATACCATTCTCTCCTACACCCATCCAGATACCATGCTCTCCTACACCCATCCAGATACCATTCTCTCCTACACCCATCCAGATACCATTCTGTCCTACACCCATCCAGATACCATTCTGTCCTACACCCATCCAGATACCATTCTCTCCTACACCCATCCAGATACCACTCTGTCTACACCCATCCAGATACCATTCTCTCCTACACCCATCCAGATACCATTCTCTCCTACACCCATCCAGATACCATTCTGTCCTATACCCATCCAGATACCATTCTGTCCTACACCCATCCAGATACCATTCTCTCCTACACCCATCCAGATACCATTCTCTCCTACACCCATCCAGATACCACTGTGTCTACACCCATCCAGATACCATTCTCTCCTACACCCATCCAGATACCATTCTGTCCTACACTCATCCAGATACCACTCTCTCCTACACCCATCCAGATACCACTCTGTCCTACACCCATCCAGATACCATTCTGTCCTACACCTATCCAGATACCATTCTGTCCTACACCCATCCAGATACCACTCTGTCCTACACACATCCAGATACCACTCTGTCCTACACCCATCCAGATACCACTCTGTCCTACACCCGTCCAGATACCATTCTCTCCTACACACATCCAGATACCACTCTGTCCTACACCCATCCAGATACCATTCTCTCCTACACCCATCCAGATACCATGCTCTCCTACACCCATCCAGATGCCACTCTGTCCTACACCCATCCAGATACCATTCTCTCCTACACCCATCCAGATACCATTCTCTCCTACACCCATCCAGATACCATGCTCTCCTACACCCATCCAGATACCACTCTCTCCTACACCCATCCAGATACCACTCTGTCCTATACCCATCCAGATACCATTCTCTCCTACACCCATCCAGATACCATTCTCTCCTACACCCATCCAGATACCACTCTGTCCTACACCCATCCAGATACCATTCTCTCCTACACCCATCCAGATACCATTCTCTCCTACACCCATCCAGTACCATTCTCTCCTACACCCATCCAGATACCACTCTGTCCTACACCCATCCAGATACCATTCTGTCCTACACCCATCCAGATACCATTCTGTCCTACACCCATCCAGATACCATTCTCTCCTACACCCATCCAGATACCATTCTCTCCTACACCCATCCAGATACCATTCTGTCCTACACCCATCCAGATACCATGCTCTCCTACACCCATCCAGATACCATGCTCTCCTACACCCATCCAGATACCATTCTGTCCTACACCCATCCAGATACCATTCTCTCCTACACCCATCCAGATACCATTCTGTCCTACACCCATCCAGATACCACTCTCCTACACCCATCCAGATACCATTCTGTCCTACACCCATCCAGATACCATTCTCTCCTATATCTATCCATATATCATTCTTTTGGTCTCCCAAGAGATCAGAAAGGGGGTAAGGAAAAAAGGGAAATTCCTTTTCCCTTGATTTTCTTATATTATTTGACACTGATAAAACTGACCAGGCTTCTGACAAAGTAACCATAGACATTTACATCTAATAGACACCAAAACCCATGTTTTTCTTAAAAAAAAAAAAAAAAAGAAGAAGAAGCAACAATTCAGACTTTTGCTAACTTACAAAATGCCTTCATCTCAGCACAATACTTAAGGAACCACTTGACTGGTATCCAACTTTTATGAATTTTAAGGAAATAATGAAAATAGAAAGGAAATAATATTTAAATATGAAAATCAGCTCTTAAGTACCCAATGCTCCTCAATGGTATGTGAATGGTAGAAAAAACAGATCACCGGTGAAAAGAGGATGAGCCCAGGGAGAGGCAGATGAGGAGAGTGTGCACAGCATATGAGTGAGCCCCATTCACCAGGCAAGCCATTCTGGAACTCAGACACCAGGCATGGTATTTTCCAGAGAATGCCGGCGTGTTTATCACCCAGCAGGCCCTGCCCTGCAGCCTGAAAGCACCTACCAGCCTTTCCAACTTGGCAGCCCCCCAACAGCCAGAACAATGATTGCTTTTCTCTTGCTATAATAATGCTGTCTAGTTCATCAGAGATCCATTTTGTATTTTTCATTGAGTCCAAAGCATGCTGTTTCCTTCAGAAGAAATCCTATCATGTTTTATACAGTTTAAAAAAACAATCGGTCTGGTAAATTAGTAAAGACAGGAAAATTTTTATGGGAAAGCAAGGAGTTTCTCCTAAAATCTCATTATTTTATCTGAAATAAAATGTATTTTTAAAAATCCTACACATACAATACGGCACATGCATGATCCAAATATTTCTCAGCTTAACAATGTCTTAGGGAGACAGCTCTGGTGCCATAGGAAAGCCTCATGCCTTACCACTCATTCATTCACTCACTCACCCACTCGTTTATTCATCTAATATATACTTGAGCATTTACTATCTGTTCTAGGCACTGAGGAGCATTTAATGAAATAGAAAATAACCCTTGTTTCACGGAACAAGTGCAGAGAAGACCAAGAACAAATCCATGCAAATAGGCAAACATCCTAATTCCACATGGCAATAAACTCTTTGAAGGAAAAACAGGGTGGTGTGCTGGCCAGTGAGGGGGCATATCAGAGCTGCTGATACCTGAGAGCTGAAATCTGGCTGAAGAGAACGAGCCTGCGGAGACTTGGAGTAGGCAAGAGGGTGGCCCAGGCAAAGATCCCAGGGTAAGAGCAAGCTTGACAAATTTAGAGGAAAGAAAGAACACCAGTGTGGACTGAGAACAGTAATAGCTATTGTAAAGATGTAATAAGATGATGTGTGCAAAAGAACTTGATGGACCACAAAGTGGTACCATGGAAAGGTATTATTTAGTACTGCTAGAACATGTGAAGGATCACATAAAGAGCATCATTCTGGGCCAGGCATGGAGGCTCATGCCTATAATCCCAGCACTTGGGGAAGCCAAGGTGGGGAGGATAGCTTGAGCCATGGAGTAGGAGACCAGCCTGGGCAACATGGCGAGACCCTGTCTCCATGAAAATTTTTTAAAAAGTTAATCCAGCATGGTGCTGTGCACCTGTAGTCCCAGCTACTCAGGAGGCTGAGGTGGGAGGATTACTTGAGCCCAGGAGGTCCAGGCTTCAGTGAGTCGTGATGGTACCACTGCACTCCAGCCTGGGCCACAGAGTGAGACCCTATCTAAAAAAAAAAAATCATTCTGCATTTAGAAAGGAATATGAATATATATATATATATATATATATATATATATATATATTCCAGTTTTCATCTTCTACTTCCTAATAAAAAGTGGCTGGTTATTCCAAAGCCCTTTCAAATATGACACATTTCTTTTGCATGAAATAGGGAACTGTACCTACCTGGAATCCTATTAAGTGTCACCCAGAAATGCTCATCAGGACTGAAAGTGTCCTTGGACCACTGGAGCAAATCAACAGCCCGTGGGTCATGCAGAACAAAGTAGGCAAACTCTCTGGATAGAGCCACATAGGCAGAGCCAAAGTAAATCGTGAGGTTATGCGGGGGAGGTGGTTTCAATGCTGTGGTTCTTATCACATAGGAAAGCTCTTTGCCCAGGTGCTCTTGGTGGACATATTTAGTCCGTCCAATTGCATGAGCTGGGGGCAGCACTCCTGGGGTGATATTTTTCCCTTTAAATCCTTTCAGATACTGAACTATTTCCTTGTTGGTTTTCAGGGGGAAGTCTTGCCCACAGGTGTTGATAACGTACTTCCAGGAGACTTCCAAGGCAGAAAGATCTTTGATGCAGTTCAGGTCAGCCTGGAGCCTGGAGATCCCACCATAGACAACTGGTTCCATCTTTGAAGCCAGAAAAGCATTTGGGAAGCAGCTCAATAGTTGCTCTACTGCTTCTTTAAATTCAGTTGTTGCTTTTTCATCCACATGGACACAGTAGATATTTTGGGGCATGTAAATGGCCCTGAAGAGCCTTGCAAAGGTGTCGAAGTGATGATGGATGACCATTATGTACGCCAAGGGAAATTCGGCTTCTTCCTTAGATAAAGGGGTTGTGATGTAGTGGCTCTGGGTCAAGTATTCCTTGCAAGAAGACTTCTCGTGGATCATTAGTTTGTTTTTCCACAGGAAAGGTGTTTTCCCATTGATAAAAGATGTGCAAACTCGAGTCAGCATCAAAGTGTCTGAGATATTTAGCCTCTGGAAGCTTTGATCGCCCCCAAAATTGAACACAGAGAAGACGATGAAAATAATTACACTAGAGACGGAAATTGCAAAGAGGTAACGCATTGATAAAGGCATGCCTCAAAGAAGGGTGAAATGTCAGACAGTCAAAATCTGTAAGTCTTTTTCCCAAACTCACTCGTTTCTCTGAGTTCTTATTTTGGAACATACTCCAGACGTTCCTGCCCCGATGGAGACGCTGGGAATCGACTCCGTTTCATCCCGAGAGTCCAGCAGCGGTCTCTGTGTCCGCGTGCCGATATTACAGCCGGATCCGCCTCTCCCAAACCTCCTTTGTTTAAATTTCCGTGGCAGGTTGCTGAAGCCCAGCCTTCTCTCCTCCCTCTGCCTCCCCGTCTGCATCTGCTAGCTGTTTTGCTAAAACTCCGGTAACTCTCTTTCCCCGGGCAGATTTACTTTCCCAGATCTCTTTTCTTTCATTTCCCCTGCCACCCCCCCCCCCCCCCCCCCCCCCCCCCCACTGCACTCATTACTGCCATTCAGGGAATGAGTGCAGTGAAAGCCCGAGTTGAAGTGATGAGCTCTGGCAGGCGTGCCGCTTCCTGCTAGTCCCCTAGCGGGCGGCTGGACTTGCCCTCTCTTGTTGCTGGTGGCAAAGATCCACAGCCTGGTCTCTCGGCTCTTCCAGCGCAACCCACGGGACAGAGCATAGCTTCTGTTTTCCAACGCACTGTTTCATGAAACCTGACACAAGTGACATTTCAAATGAAAGAAAGCCTCATCCATCCCAGCTCCATTGTAATGCTTTTTGGCCCCACCCCACTGTTTTTCAAAAACAAAAGCTTACTGGAGGAGGAGTTCCGGTCCCAGGGAGTCTGAAATTGCCGGGGCACCTTGGGCCCCTGACTTTGAAATAAACCCCTCCTCTCCTTTCACTTCCAGCATCCGCTGTGGTGTTTGTCTTAGAATACTGGGCTCAAACGTACAAATCGTGAGCTACATCTACTGAGTCAGATGAGACCACAGAGCTTCATGGGAAAGAATCTGAATCTTGGTCTCAGATGATGCTGAGGTAGGGGATTTGGTGGGCACTCAGGCTTTAACCACCCAGAGAACAGGATTGAATGCTCAGAAGTGTCATATGCCTGCCCAGTTAAGCTTATCCAGCGCCTAGGAAGTGAATGGTTTATCCCCTATTTGTAAATACTGTGCTCTGGCCAAGGAGTATCAAGCTGTTTTATTTAGAAGCTTCTTGTCTTCAACTTTTCACTGTCCCACCAGCTAATTTTTAATGAAATACAGATTAATGCATTTTATTTGGTATCCTCTTAAAATGACTTGCAAAATACCAACGTCATCACTGACTGCCTGGCTATTTCCCCTCACTATTTACCTGGCCTAAACAATGCCGTTCCTGAACCCCAAGGCATTCACTACCCCACCCCATGAAGAAAGAATGTCCTTTAATGCACAGTTCCTTCCATTTGAAAAGTCTCTACCCTGCCCTGAATGGAACTGATAGGACAACATGTGGATTCCTCGCCTTCACAATGGTCAGGAAAACCAGTGTTACCCTCCCTGGACTCAGAGCACTCTGACCTCCGACAAAATGACACATCATTTCCTGAGCACACTGTCGCTTCCATTCTTCTAGCTTTCATTGTTTACAAGTTTCGTGTTTCCAGATGGTATATAATTTTTCTCTCTCTCTTACCAAAGTCTCCTAAGTAAACTCTGTGTAACCCACCCCTGGATTTTTAGGTTAAGTAGAAAAAAATAAGAAAGCAGATCAAGATAGTTCTTAGTGTCTTCTATGGAGTAGAGCAAAAAGAATCATCTAAAATTTATGATAAAGAAAAATTCAATCTCAAGATTTTTATCTTCTGAATAATACTTTTAAATATTAGGTTATTGTGTATTCTATTCCTAAACAAAAGAGAGTAATTCAGTATCTTGTTTGGCAAAGACCTGCAGCTTAGAATGAATATAAAAATAGTTACAATTCGACAAAGCATTCAGCGCACATAATTAGGGCAACAGAGTCTGTTTACATTATCATTTCCAATTGGCCAATGACATAGGGGGTCAGATTTATACAAACTTAGGAGACAGACTTTTACTATATTAAGAAATATAGACACTAACCAAATTAGGAATGTTGGTAATACTTCTATACTCAATCCAGTACTTTAAATGGCATTGTTTGTGTGTTGAAAAATGTAGTTGATTTTCTTCCCAGCTTTTTTGTCTGTCTTTGGGCCAATTTCCTCCACTCTCAGATTCTGGTATTTTAAAATATCAACAGGAGGCCTTCATCTGTGGTCCTGGGGCACGGGTTACTCTCCTTCCGAAGCAGGCAGATCACGAGGTCAAGAGATTGAGGCTATCCTGTCCAACATGGTGAAACCCCGACTCTACTAAAAATACAAAAATTAGCTGGGTGTGGTGGCACGTACCTGTAGTCCCAGCTACTCGGGAGGCTGAGGCAGGAGAATCGCTTGAACCCAGGAGGCAGAGGTTGCAGTGAGCTGAGATCACACCATAGCACTCCAGCCTGGGCAACAAGAGCGAATCTCTGTCTCAACAACAAAAAAAATCTCAACAGGAGAACTTTAAAAAACATCACTTACTGTCTTAGAGGAAAACTGTTACCCATCACCTTTCTTTTCTAATGGGCTGTACAACCTGCTTATCCAGACACCACACACTTCTTTGCTACCAAGACTGAACAAGTCAGCCCTCCCAGCCTGCCTTTAACTATAGCCGAGGACAAAGGTGACACCAGCCAGTCCTGCCTTGTCACTCACTTTGGCAACAATGATTCCCAAACTAGCCAATTAATCCTGCTAGACGCCACTGCTCCCCTGGGGCCATCTGAGAGGTTTTCTCTGTATTCCATTCAAACGTCTTTATTTCGCAGATGTTACTTGAGGTGTGTTTGGGTTTTTTCCTTTGAGGCAGTGTCTGACTCTGTCGCCTAGGCACCGTCGCATCTCACTGCAGCCTTGACCTCCTGGGCTCAAACAATCCTCCTGCCTCAGCCTCCCGAGTAGCTGCGATTACAGGCATGGGTCACTACGCCCAGCTGATTTTTGTATTTTTAGAAGAGACAGGGTTTCCCCGTGTTGGCCAAGCCGGCCTTGAACTCTTGGGTTCAAGCTATCCACCCACTTTGGCCTCCCCAAAGTGTTGGGATTACAGGGGTGAGCCACGCCTGGCCTATTTAATGATTTTTTTCTACTTAGGAAGATGTGCAGAACATAGCTCCAAAGTGAAGAGAGTATCCTTTCTTTGAAATGACAGAGGATTTAGAATCTCAATGAAAAAAAAAAAAATCAAAGGGGGAAAAGATCACCCTCCTCCACATGCTCAGTGTTAGGGACAAGCTGCCTTAGAAAACCCCCTCCGCCCAAGCTGACCCCTTCCCCGCGACTCTGATTGCTCTGCAGCTGCACTTCTGAGCTCCTACATCAAGTCCGCCAGACTCTGTGCTACAATTAAGCAAAGCCTGATTACAGCCATCCGGGCAGCTCCAAGGAGGCCAGGGAAAACAAATGTTGGTTATCCATACTCGTAAATCCCTGTTTGACGCATATCTGTAAAAAATCCTGGTTTCTCTCTTTTTTAAAAACTGCCGCCACAAAGTCACAGGATGATGTATTATAGGTCGGTTGACGAACTATCTCTGTGCCTGTTACCAGTGGATAGATGACCTCAGTCTTGAAACTCCCTTATGCCCCTCTCACCTCATATAAACCCCTCATTTTGTAAGCTCGGGGCTGCCTCCTCTGATGGTTATGGAGCAGCTGGGCAGGTTAATAAAACTTGCTTGCCTGACTCTGGGTCTATTCTCCTTTCTCTGGGCCACCTTTACATTCAGCACCTCTTGGCTTCCTATCTGAAGGCCAAGGTACACAAGACCTGGGGAAAACAGAGTTGGAGGCGGACGACACTGAGAGTTTGCTACATGCCAGGCTAACTCAACCAGTGAGGAAGGTGGAAAGACCTTGCATCATGGGCTCAAAAACTGGGACTTAACTCCAGAGGAGCACACAACAGGCTTTCAGTGGAGGAGCACCTCCAGGCAAGGCGTGCCAGCTGGAGGAGGGTTGTGTACACATTCCCTCGTGCGTCTTTCCTCTATTTAATTGCATGTACGAATGCAAACTTCATTACACCCTCATAATTGTTCTGAGACTTGTTTGTCTATTGCCAATTAACTGCCATCCTTTAGTTGGGAAAGGACTTGAGGGGACACAGGTTTGAGCAGTGACCTTAGACATGTAAAGGTAATTGAAAGCAAAGATGGCCTTCAGAAGACCCAAGAGAGTTTGTTTAAGCAGCATTGAGAGGCTCAGCTGCATTGGCAGAAAAGGTTAGGTAAATGGGGTGAGATTGTATCCATTCTGAGGCTACCTGATGGCTTTCCTTAGAAGGGATTTTGTTTTGTTTTGTTTTGTTTTGTTTTTGAGATGGAGTCTTGCTCTGTTGCCAGGCTGGAGTGCAGTGGCATGATCTTAGCTCACTGCAACTTCCACCTCCCGGGTTCAAGTGATTCTCCTGCCTCAGCCTCCCAAGTAGCTAGGACTACAGGCACACGCCACCATGCTCAGCTAATTTTTGTATTTTTAGTAGAGACAAGGTTTCACCTATGTTGGCCAGGATGGTCTCGATCTCTTGACCTTGTGATCCACCCACCTCACCCTCCCAAAGTGCTGGGATTATAGGTGTGAGTCACTGCACCCGGCCTGGGAGGGTATTTTTATGTGGTTTGCTTTGTTACTGAAGCAAGTCAAATGACTCAGGGATTCATTCTTAATTATAAAATACGGGGATTTGTTTTTACCCCTGACCTAAGCGTAATACGTGGAAAAGCAGAGAATGGTGGCAGTCCAGTTGATTTTGGACAGCCTATAAAGTACAGTTGTCTCTCGGAGGGATGAGCTCCAGGAAGTCTGAGGATACCAAAGTCCACAGATGCACAAGTCCCTAATATAACATGATGTAATATTTGCATATAACCTATGCACAGCCTTGCTTGTACTTTAAATCATCTCTAAATAACTTATAATATCAAATACAATGTAAATGCTATGTAAACAGCTGTTATGCTGTATTCATTAGGGAATAATGCCAAGGGGGAAAAAAAAAAAAAAGCCTGTACATGCTCAGTACAGTAGCAACCATTCTTTTTCCCTGCCCAAGTATTTTCTATCTGAGGTTGTTTGAATCCAAGGATTCAGGCCCCAGGGAAACAGAGTGCTGACTGTAAATCTGTTCTGGGTGGCCAGGTGGTTTGTAAATGGTGTTTTTTATTTTATTTTATTTTAAACATGATAATGATCATGATACTAATGTGAAGAAAGAAGACATTTCCAAAGCACATCTTTAACTAAAACAACAATCCTCCTGTAACTGAGACATTTCCCAACTGGATTCACAAGAAAATCCTGCTTCTCCTGGGGCCCAATCATTTTACTTTCTGTACCATTCATCTAATTAGCAACAAAAGAAGTTGCTGTCTAGATCACAGAACCCAAAGCATTATTTTATTTTA